TTCTTTTCTCGTCTTCCATCTAGTACAACTTTTTAAATACTGCACGTATCGAGACGAACTTCACCACCCGTGTACTTTCAAAACAAATCTATGTTATTCTAAATCCGACCACTTGGGGTGCTGCTATAGAATAAAAAAATTTCCCGGATTCTATTAACATTAGAGGTTTCATTAGAATTAGTTTTAAGATTCAATCTCAATTTCTATTGAATTTCTTTTGAAACAATATTGTAGAATGAAAAGCATAACCATCAGGCGTGAACCTTTAATATACAATATGTAGAGAAAAAGCAACGATAAAGCCTAAATGTATGCTTCGGTTGCATGAAATCAGTATGCGAATTTTGCTACTATCAGGTTTTTGGAGGTGTTTTCGATTTCACCGATTTTACCTTGCTAGTGGATTGGGGTCATTTTTGACCCGGATTCTCATACATTTGTTTTTCTAATGCATTTGGAAGGTTCAACAAGAATTTATCAATTTACGTTAAGTACCGTAAAACGGGGTATCTTTGATAATACGGGTAACTTTGATAGTATAATGTAAAGATTAAATTTACTCGCTGCGCTTTTTCCCAATTAGAAACATTGGTTCCATATTGTAGTTTAGGGTATTTCCGTTGATATCGTATATAGTTTTTATATAGTATGTGTTACATATTTTACAAACATATTAAAAACGTGTTTTTCGCCTGTTTTAAAAAGCACTCAAACCATCACTTATGAAACGTATTTCCGATATAGCCAAGGCATATTCAATGTTGTATTTTTATTTCTTATGATGTTTTCTGATTATATACTTATTCAAAGTTTCATATTTAAAGAACTAAATTGTTTGAGTTTCACCTATTTTTTTCTACATTCATCGAGCATTATCAATGTAACCCCTAATCAAAAAACTGAGGTTCGGTCCCAAAACTAAAAAAAATGAGCAAATGCTCTAATTTTCGTCAAACATATTACTAACGAATTGACTCTTGGATCCTCAGTACTTGTTTTAAAAATATAAAATTTGAAAAACATTCATTGCTGTTAAAATTATTTAGAATATACTTCAAAAAACTATCAATGTTACCCCGTTTTACGGTATCTTCTTCTTCTTCGCATTTCAAGCTTATAGCTTATTAGCTTATTGCGTACTCTCAAACTCAGTGTTCTAGATGCACTTCCACAGTTATTAATTGAGAGCTTTCGATGCCTGTACCATTTTTGCATTAGTATAATTTTTTTTCTACTCTATGCCCAGGGAAGTTGAGAAACTATCCAACCCGAAAAAGTCCTAGACCGGACCGCGGGTTCGCCCAGCCACCTCCAGCATGGTCTCTAAACACTGTGCAAAAATTGTAATTTCTTGAAACAGCTGGTATCGCTGAATATGTCCGAAAGTAAAGATTTGATTGATACAAGTTGTTAAATGCATCCTTCATCTTTCGACTCAAAAGGTTGAATGACATGTTTATTAAAAAAAAAAGAGTCATTATTTTCATCTTTATATTGTTGCTCCAAGTGGTGTGTAGTGTGCCCCGTGAATTGTACTGTGGAAAGTATAACCATCAGGCGCGAATCTTTTATATTCAATACAGAAAGAACAAAGATTAAGCCTAAATGTATGCTTCTGTGTCATGAAATGAGTATGCGCATTTTGTCCCGCAGTGCTTTGTCATTAATTTTCGCAGTGCAGTCATTAATTTTCGTTGGGAATATCAATTGTAATATCTAGTCCAGGGCTCCCCAACTTACGGCCCTCATTTTGTGCGGCCCGAAACGAATTAAGAAAAAGTACTCGCATCCGGCCCATGGGTTGTTCTTATCTCGTTGATCTTTGCCGGACGAGTACTTCGAATCATGTTTGCGGATTTCTGACAGTTCCCGAGATCTATATACAGCGAGTGTTGGAGAGCAACCAACCATTTTAAGTTAATTATTAATAACAAAGCTGCTGACCGTTATTATCTTTAAATAAATAAAATAAAATAAATTAAAAGTTGCATTTTGATATATTACTGAACCCTAGTAGCATGCTTGACATTAAACAGTTGTAGAAACAACTATATGTCTTATTTCAGTCATAAACAAGTTGCTGCAACTTTTCGTGATGGCAGTGAGCTATTTTTAAAGATCCTTCCTTCGTAATAAAATAAGTTCTTCGTATGCTTTACATTGTGCATGTGATTTCAGACGATTTCTTCATTTTTCAGCTAATAATCCTCAGTTGTAAAATAAGCTATTACTTTGAGCTAGTAATAGCATATTTTACAACTGATGTAATTAAATTAATTATTCTGTGCAGGAACATGTTGGTTATTACTTTATCAATCGATGAATTACAATACATCAATCAACCATGCAAAATTTACAGAAAGAGTAACAATGTTCAATAATTCGATCAGACTTGGACTCTTGGTCCTGGATTATTGTCTATCAGGAGAACGCCTAAAGGTATGCAACGTTTCATATTAAATTGCTGCTGCGTTATTTTGCTTCGATTATTGACCGGTCCAATAAAATAACTGATACTGTTAGTATAATATACCGAAAAGTTATGTTTAATCATCGAACAGAATCACTGAACAAGTATTCTTGCAGAAAATTTTAATTCCAAGATGCATTTATCAAAAATAGAATTTCAATGCAAATGATGCGTGCAACAATTGGGCTCTGAGGCACATTAAAAAAAAACTTATTACAGCTTTTATGAATATACACTGCTTATTAGCTCTGGAATTGCTAATTAATGGCATTGAAAGTTTTCTTGAGGAATTCCTACTTCAAAAACGTTGTCAACCTCGTAAATACGTCAAATAACCAAAGGCAAGTGCTTAGCTGTGATTGGCAAATTACCCTAATGATCAATTTCACCCTGGTGATAAATTTGCCCCAGATTTTTAAACTTATGCTTATTAAAAAGCTAATCAAAAATGCTAGCTTTTCTAATATTGGACACAATATTAATTAATTATTAAAAAATTATCACAATCGTAGAACAGGGATGGTCCATTAATTATGTCACGCAAATTTGGCCCATTTTCAACCCCCTCCCCCCTTTGTCACATTTTTTGTATGGACCTTAATTTTTTTTTTGTATGGCTCGTCACAGTTTTCAAAAAATCCCCCCCCCCCATAAATGTGTGACATAATTAATGGACGTACATCAACTATTAGTAAAATTTTTGTTTTCATAAATAATAATTATTGTTTCTAATGCAGAAAAATTGCTTTTAGTTCAAGAATCGTTTTTGATACACAAATTACATAAATACTGTTTGAAAAAAAAAAAAGTTCAACATTGTTTACTAAAACTTGATGTACTACGATTTTCGTCAAATTTAAAGCATAGATTACGTCATGTATCAGAATTTTTAGCAATTTTGGTAAGCTTTCAAATAAACATAACATTTTATGTCTCAGAAAATCCCGACGGTGCCAACTGGGATAAACCAGACGGTTTTGAGTGAGAGGCAGTTACGCTTGCCACTACACCACCAGCGCCGCTAACAATTCTGTGATATATCTTTTACGCTGTTTTTTTCCTTTTAATTCTACTACTATTGTATCACTTCCGCTTTATGTGATGTTTAGTGGAATTCGGAAAGGGTAAACTAAAATCGATTTATCAGTTGGCGTGGATTTGCTATGTTCCACAGTCTTAATGATTGCACTTAATTCAAAACCTCAAAAAATGGTCCCAAATCTCCATTAATTCAAGTTAGGGGCTGTCCATAAACTACGTAGACAATTTAGGGGGGGGGGGGTGACAATTATCCACGGCCCATACAATTTTTTTTTTTTTTTTTACGGACAATTGTTCAACCTGATGGCCCATTTATGATTCTATAACTCAGTGAAATTTTAAACATCAGAGAAAATACATCATGGACATAAAAAATATCCAAATTTTTCGACTTAAATAAATGTCTAGAACAAACTGCTTGCCTCAAAGTGGACAAAACGTGTTTGTCTTCGATGGAGAGAAAATTGTGTTCATTGTCCACAATAGAGCGGCACGTGTCTCCTATTGGAACCGTCAGTGATTGTGAGGCAAGTATAATCACACCCAAGTAACATTGCAAGGTTTATCAAGGCTTTAAAGCATTCTTCATGTATTTTCCGACTGAGCTAAGGGAGGAACTATGATGATAAGCTTAACTATGGGGCTGAAATCACCACCACCAGCCTTCTTCCATCAATCATCAACTGTCGATAGTGACGCTCACGATTCACGCTTAAGAAGTGTAGTGCAGCAACTAATAGGCATCTATTCTATACATGATTCCACTCATTGTTAAGCAATAAAATGATTGCAATACGTCAATAAAAACCATTATCCAATCGACAGCTCAGTATCACATGCCTCATCGACAAAGCTTTATAACCGCAACGATAAACGGGTCAGGTTTCGCATCAATCGCTCAAGGCCACACAAATCGCCAAAAATTGCCAACGAACGATTTCTCCTCGCTGCTGCTACTGCTGCTGCTAGCAGCAATGATTTGACTGATGAACACACATTTTCTGAATCCACCTACTCTGCCTCTGCTGCATCTCAATAATCTGCTGTCAGAAAGGCATCCGTAAAATCGTGACTCGTAACGCCTCATCTCAGAGGTGGTGGTTTGTTTCTTTCATTCCTCAAAAATTATACCATCGACCCCTGACTTATATGACCATCAGCCATTTTTTAAACTTTCTTTGAAGAATCATCCCTTTTGGCTGTCGCTAGCGATTGGACTGAGATCTTATCAGGTGCGGAAAAGAAAAAGATGCCATAACCAGCTGCGTGATGACAAATTACTTTTCGACCCACAGTTGACACTCATTCGTATTCATTTTCAACCAAATATCAATAACAGTTCAGTCCGATTGATTAATCATCTCTCTTACTTTCTGTTTCCTAATTCACTATTACCTACTTACCTACCTACCCTACCGATCACTTTCGCCTCTTTCTCCATTCTATTCTCCTATCTATGCCTTCGCTTGTTTCCTTTCTCTACTTGCAGGGATTCTCCTGCGCCGACCTGATGAATGCCGGCATGCGCCAGTCCGGAGTGTACTATCTGCAGATCCGTGGCACGACCTATTGGTTCCTGAAGGTCTTCTGCGAGCAGGAAATTGCCGACGGTGGATGGACTGTAATTAAGTTTTATTCTCATAATCTAAAGCCAATCAAATGGGAACCAAAAGACCCGCAGTTGATTCCAGACCAATGTGTTCGGACCCATTTAACGCCTCTTGTTTCTCTCTGTTTACCTTTTCTGTATCTTCCACTTTCCCATGGACCTTGGCATGGTGGGCAAATAGGTTATTCAACGACGCGATGACTTTGGAGAACCACGGGAAAACTTCAACCGCGACTGGGCCGACTACAAGAATGGCTTCGGCGATCCGGCAAAGGAATTCTGGCTCGGAAACGAAAATATCTACATGCTGACGAACAATGAGGACTACTCGCTCCGGGTCGAGCTGGAAGATTTCGAAGGAAACAAGAGGTTAGTTCTGGGTGTAAGCTTGAATCATTACCTATGTACATGTTCAATAAGAATAGTGTGATTAATATGAGTGCCAACCACCGCTCTCCAGTGGTACCCTTTTGGATGGTATGGATTATTTGTGCCTTGGCCAAAGGAATCTTGTGCGCAATGTGAATAGCTCCTCAGCTCCGTTGCTACCAGTTGACTCTCATCAGCCCGCGCTTGTAGTGTGTGACGAACCGATTGAAAAACAGCGACCTCTAAACTTTGCGGAATGCGATTTCTACTATCATCGATGTCGAAATGGGGGAAATTTTTTGATCCATTTTGAACGATTGGCTTGTTTCGAATGTTCCACGAATTCCGTTTACGGGATTTAAAACGCAATCGCAATGCTTGTCAACGGAAACTACGTCGTCAACGAACGCCTGGCAGCAAACGAAGTACCGGCCACTCTCTACAAATCTTACGTATTGCGTGTGCAAATGAGTCTGAGAAGAAATCTACGTGGTTTTCGACGCTTTGTTAACTCCAAACGGAAAAGTGCGATGATCCCAACGAACGTCTATCTGAACGAAACGACTACAGCGTCAACTACAGAGTCATGTCAGTTGTTCGCCAACCATTTTGCATTCGTATTCGCGACGAATCCCGTCTCAAACTTGGAAATCGATGAAGACACCCGTGATGTTCCCGTTGATTTTGTTGAGCTTGAACTATTTGCTGTAAATCAAGAAATGGTCTCATTGGCTGCAAATATAAGCTGAAACGTTCGTTTGTCCCTGGTCCTGACGGTTTGCCTGCAGTTATAATATATCGCTGTATTGCTGCTTTAGCACAACCGTCGAATAATATCTTCAATCGCTCACTTCAGCAAGCGATATTCCCTCGCATTTGAAAGCAATCGTTTATGACACCCATTTTCAAACGTGGCGATCGTCACAATGTTGTTAACTATCGGAGAATCACGAGTCTCTCAGTTGTCTCTGAAATTGTTTGAAATTTTATTGGGTGGAGCTATTTTCAATGCCACAAAAAGCTACATAATGTCTGTATCCACATTAATCCGGACACCTTCAAATCACTGTAACTTTTGAAATATTGCACGTTGGAGTGAAAAATTTCGCTGAGCTCGTTGGTGAAAAAGACTATGATTGGTGTTTACATTCCATGTTTAGTGTTCAAGATGGTGACGAATGAAAAACACGTGCGCGAGCGGATTCTGTACGGAAGTAATTCAAATCCTGACTTCTAGATAGAGCTGGAACTAGGGCCTAACAGCTTTTGTAAGGCTCGCCTACGCAAACCAACATCCTCATCAGGTAGGGAAAGACTTCCCTTATCCGATTGCGTGGGCGTGCCTTGAGTTCCTAGAAATCATCGATATAAGTCATTGTTTACAAAAGCTGTTACGCCCTAATTCCAGCTCTATCTAGACTTGTCAATACGGGAACTTGCAAAAAAAAAGAATTACCTAAATCCCCTGTTCACGGTGTGCTCAAATCATTTTCGGAACGCTTGATGGTCGAGAAGAAATCGAGAAGTGATAAAAACATTGGACGTGCTGATCCTGTCATGGACAACTACAAACAGAATTTGACAGCAAAATCATGGGCTTGACGTTCGTATTGCGAATATTTTACGAATTTTTCATGCGTTGTTATGGACGATGAAATTTATGTCCTGAAGGATTTCAAGCAGCTTCCACGGCTGGCTTTCTATTCTGCTATGGCCAAAAATACTATTGCTGAGTACTTCAGGACGAAGAAGTCATCGAAATTTCCCAAAAAAATATCTTATTTGGCCGAAAGAGTAAATCTTTCGTCACTACAGGCACAATCAACAACGAGATTTACCAGAAAGAGTGCCTGCAGAAGCGATTACTACCCTTCATCAAAAGCCACAAAGAAAACCCTTTGTTCTGGCCCGATTTGGCATCATTATGCAGAGTGGTACGAAGCAAATCAAGTGAATATTGTACCAAAAACTGCAAATTCCCCAAATTGTCCAGAGCTACGTCCAATCGAGAGATATTGGGCTCTGATGAAACAGAAGCTTTCTGGAAAGAAACAAGGAATCTCAAAGATATCAAACATTTCCAACGAATTTGGACAAGGACGTCGAAGTGCATAACGAATATGGAGGAAAAAGCATAAGTCAATGTTATTTATACCGACCTTAAGGCGGCGTTCGATAAAATTGGTCATAATATACTGCTACACAAGTTATCTCATCTTGGAGTTTCTATGCAATTGGTTTTTTGGTTGGAATCCTACCTTACAGAGGGTGTTCTTCGAGTGAAGATTAAGGGTCGTGTATCTTTGCCGTTTTCAAACAAGTCTGGAATTGCACAAGGTAGACCGTTGCTGTTTATTCTGTTCTTCAACGATGCTGCTTTGGTTCTGGGTGAAGGATTCAAGTTGGTCTATGCAGATGATTCAAAGCTGTACATTGTGGTGCGTACGCAAGAGAATTGTTGGCCTCTGCAAAACTCGCTGACTTTGTTTGCCGATTGGTGCCTGATTAGCCCCCAAAATTTTAACTCATTTAGTGAGAAACTGACTAGGCACAAACCATTTGAAGTTTATATGGGAATTACTATGGAGAAACCATAATTTCAGTTCGTATCTATATCAAAATTCACCAGTTCACTCTACTTAAGAAAATGATAGCTGAGCTTGTTGAAAATTTTCTCAGCTACAACTTTGTTAAAGACCATTTTTCGATCAAATGTAGGGAACACAAATTATTAAGGATTCAAGTCACTGATGTCTTTTGATTATGCTCAATCAACTGTTCAGCAGGCAACATTGGTGGTTATGGCACGTAGAATAGAGGACAAAAATCATGGCTACTATGTCACACTGCAGAGTACAGTGTTGCCCACAATACAGTTGCTTAATCTTGCCATAAGGTTATCAATCTCTTAAACAATTAATAATTATTTAATTTGACGTTTGGATGAAAAACAACTTTCTGCAAAGTTGTAGCTGATCAAAATTCCCATAAGAATAGCAATAGAACTTGTTAACAGTACAATATATAAAAAGGCTTGAAGACAATGAACAAAAAAAATTGTTCTTCCATGGTAATTTCCATATAAACTTCAAATGGTTTGTGCAAAGACAGTTTTTTATCAACTGAATTTAAACTTTCGCAGGCTAATCAAGACTCGATTTGAAACCGTTTGAACACTGTGGAGCGAAAATTTCAAATTTTGCATCAATCTAATCTATATCTATCTCTATCTCTATCATATGCACTTCAAATTGTCCAATAACGAGCTGGTTCGCGTTTGACAGAAAAGAAGTTCGTTTTCGCCCCCGTATTGTCTCCTCTTCCTCTTAGAGAGAAACAAACTGACTATTAGCGTGGAAAAATGTCAGATAATCACGTTTCAGCGCATGCCTACATCCAATTTGATTATCATATCGACGGCGATACTCTTACCAGAGTTACCAGTGTGACTGATCTGGGGGTTCAACTAGACTCAAAAATGGCTTTTGATTTACACCGTTCAGCGATCATATCGAAAGCAAGGCGACAGTTGGGCTTTTTCGGACCCACGTTGGAAGCAGGGCCCAACAAAGTCACTTTCAATCGCAAATCGTCAAGCGACTACGAAGCTGTCATCCATCACTTTCAATTGAAAGTCATTCTGTCTTCTCTTCTGGCAGATCCCCTTCAACATCAACAGAACCACTTTCGATCAGTTTTCATGCTGTTTGTTTTAGCTTGACTCGTGTTTATTTCGTCTTTCATTGTCAAATGAACTTACTTTAGCATTGAAGCGAAGCTCTTCTATCCAACTTCACGCAGTTTTTCTGACTTTTGTTGATTGGTTACTCGATTTATTTAAGTGCATGCGCATAGATCTGTGCACGTGCACGATCTTTGTCGGGTGGTTTGTTTAACCATCAATATAGGTTTTTTTTAATAGGAGTGATGTCTAGAGGCCGGAAATCGATGACCGACGCTATTTTGAAATCCAAGATGGCGGCTTCTGATTTCAGAAAAAGTGGAAAATACTGATGCCGACCCAATATGGGTATTTTTGTAATCTAGGGATCGAAAATTGATATGTGACACCATTTTGAAAACCAAGATGGCGGCTTCCAGTTTTTAAAAAAGTGGGAGATACTATCAAATACCCATATACATAGGTATTTTTTAATCGGGGTGACGTCTACAGGTTAAAAATCGATATCCGACGACGCCATTTCGACAACCAAGATGGTCGTTTCTGATTTCAGAAAAAAAAACTGGATATGACAGTGTTACGTCTAGAGATCGAAAATTAATATGCGACGCCATTTAAAGTTCAAAATGGCGGCTTCCGGTTTAAGAAAAAGTGGGAAATACTGTCAAATACCCATTAATATAGGTAAACGTCAGAGAAAGAAGTTAGATTGTGGCACCATCTTTGTGGAAGAGTTTTGAACTATTTGTTTATGTCAATAGATGGTCCTTATTATGATGGGAAATTTTGCCGAAGACACCAAGTCGCGGAATGCTTCGTTTCGGAGTTATTAATTTTGCTCCGCCAGGTTGCATTCCTGACCCAGTGTGCAATGTAAGCATTAGACATTTTAAGAAATTGCGCTTGGTGTTTTGCTTGCCTGCTGTTCTCTGTCGCCATATTGTCATTATGAAATGCCATTAGCCTTGGAATAAAATCCAAGAAATTTCAATAAAATAATGACTAAATTAGAGATCCGAAATGATTTCCAGTGTGCATTGGTATGAATTTATGTATTGAGATTTATTTTCTGTTAAATTAAGATGATTCCATCAAATTCATTTGATTTCTGAGACAATCTTTTTTGTTAACTTGAATTATTTTGGAGACGAATTTATTTAACGCTCACGATAAAATTTCAAGCGCATATGTTTTGGAACTTCTAAAAAGTCATATATTTTCTTTAAGATTATCACTAATGTCGCCATGAAACAAAATTGATTGCATGGTGATCTTGACATCAACACACAAACCTATTTTTACCGCTACAGATTTCCATTTGGAAAAAAAAGTTTCAGCAGAACAGAACAACAACAAGCTAATTTATGGCGGTTGCTTTAAAGCAAATAAAAATTAAATTGGATTTATAACTGATTTTAACCAAAGCGTAATAAAACTGCTTGAATACAATATTACTCTTAAAGAGGCTATGAGAACCTTTTGTAGAGTATGGGGCTTTCTGACAAAAGGTTTTAAGACAGCTTTATTGTGATTCTCAAACATGCTTTATAAACCTTATCAAGAGTGGTCCACTAAGCTGGAAGACGATCTTATAGCGGTTATCAAGAGGTTGTGGTGGAGCTATTAATTTTATTGACGGTTTTATAAAATTGATCACAATAACCACTAATAGAGTGCAATAAAACAAGACATGCTACTTGGGATGTCACCTCTCAAGTAACATTGCAGGCTTTATCGAGGTTTTATAGCAATCTACAAGTCTAAATCATGGTCTACAGAACCCTCATAAAGCCAAAATTGTTACTTGGGCTGGTGGTGGTGGGGAAGTTTTCACCGAACCATGTTTGGGAACAACCAACCAATCTCAGCGTGTATTCGTCCGTTTACGGCTGCTGTCGAATAGATTTTCGTGTTCAATAACCAACTGGACGTTTTGCAAATCGTTAGGTCTGTGTTAAGTTAGCTTTAATTTTATTCATTGTCAGATGAATTATTTTAAATACAAATTGTTGTTGGTGTACGGTATCACCCACCGCATAAATGGAGCGATTACTGTAGTCAATATTCCACAACAAATAAGCACGGAGGCAAAACGTTGATCGATCGTAATATATCTCTCTTCCCCCTCAGGTACGCACAATACTCCCATTTCAAGATCCATTCCGAGCAAGACTACTACAAACTGGAAATCGATGGCTACGAAGGCAACGCCGGTGACTCGCTGAACGATCCATGGTACGGTTCGAACAACAGTCCTTTCTCGACGTACAACCGGGACAACGATCGGAGCTCGCTGAACTGCGCCAGCATGCTTAAGGTATGACTATGCTGCTGATGACGAATGATGACGAATTTCTGTTTTAATGAGAACTTACCTACTCTAAACAGGGCGGCTGGTGGTGGAAGTCATGCGGTCGAGGCCTGAACGGTCTCTACCTGCACGATCCCCAGGATCTGACCGCTCGGCAGGGTATCGTTTGGTTCCGCTGGAGAGGCTGGGATTATACGCTCAAGAAGGCCACCATGATGATCAAACCCCGAGGACCGCAGGCAGCAGCACAACAGCAGATCGCGTCGGCGGCGACGACGTAATAGTAGAGTGTGCAATGGCTGTCTTCCATCGGTTCTTTCGCGCAAACTCAAGTTTTTGTACAAATCCTTTTTTTGTTTTCATTGTTTTTTTTTATTATTGTTTCACACAACCATTCCAAAATTCCGATAACGAAAGAAAGGTAACACGCATACGCATACACACATACATACATACAAACACAGGGAACATCCCCATACGAAATGTTATATTGAGGTCAGAGAGAGATCAGTTGCCCCCCACTCCCCCTGGAATCTGTAAATCTGGGGGCTTTCTGCCACCTGGAAAACCCATCATATTTAGTAAAGCATGTAAATTTATCCATTTCTTGCCCGTGCAGTGAATGGGTCTTACCCTTATCCATCCCCCCTTCCCCCGCCCATGCTTTTTCGTGTAATCCCCCTTGTTGTATATGTATTTTTATTTTACGTTTAATTTATTAAATTTAGTTGAAAGAGAGAGCGTGAGAGCGAAGAGAAAAAAAAACAAAAATCACCACTCTATTTAGCGAAATATCTTAGTCTTACTGTCTGGCGAACTGTGTCACACTGAGAGACCTATGTATAACGAGAAGGGAACGTTACATTTTTTGTCCCGCCATAGATTTTTTTTGTTTTATTTTGGAAAATAGGAATCCAACTGACCCCATACAGTAAGAAGAAGAAGAAGAGAGTACAACATAGACGACGACGACCACGGTTTGGAACTTTTTTTCAAAAACAAAAAAAATCATTGAACCAAGCGATATTTTTCTTTTCTTATCCTATAAACTCTGGCCTTTATACGCAGACGAAGAGAAGATATCTGATGACGAACTGAAAGAGATTGTTTAACGATAGTGTACCTATTTGTTTTTTTTTATTAGGTAAATTAATCATCCCTCATCCATATTTTTTTCGAATGTTTTATTTTTCTACGTACTTGTTTACATTGAGGGTGAAATTACCTATTTCTTGGTTTACTAAAATTCTTGGGATGCCCGAAGATCCCAGCTGGCCTGCGGAGTGTGTTGGTCGGAAATGTTAAATGCCTACCTAAGACTTAAATATCGCGAAAGATTTATGACCCACCACAAAGCCTTCGATCTTTTCGGGCTGCACATTGTAGTTTGACATTACGTCTAATGTCACGTGCGGCCGAACGCGCGTGGTGAATTGCAATGCATTCAACCACTCACCACCGATGGATCACTATGCGGTTACAATTCTGCGCGACCCGGAAAGGTCATCGTCTTCAATCTCGCCACCGGAATCACCGTCCTTTCTCGGTTTACCCATCCATGCAATATTGTACTAGCAGTCGTTACCTAATTCAGTGACCTCCTCCGTGCTACCAGGAGGACCATAATTCATTTCACCATGTAGCGTCGCGGGTTCGCTGAAATGCTATTTTTCAAAACCCTTTTCTTTTTTTTTACCCCGTGTTTCCCCCTAGCTGTCCTCTTTCGTTACAAAGCCTGTGTGGCAGGCATAATTCTAGAGTAAGCGGCCGGAAATTTTTATGTTGCTGCACCGTCGCCGTCGACGTTAGGAAATCATAATAATAAAGTACGCCCGCTCTGCTCCAGTGGTGGTGCGAGATTTCCCTCGTTTTAACTTTTATCACCTTCACCGTGCCTGCCCACACACCCTGTGTTTGGATGCTGAATGGAAAATTTGTATTTAAATACGATTGCAACTCAAGCAGTCTCTAGACTTTCAACAGTTGCAGCAATTGAGTCCGCTTAAACTAAACAATGTTTTTGTGGCGATTAAAAAACTGCCCGTGATGAATATCGACCCATTCGCAGAGCACCTCCGAGTGAAACAGATTACCCCAGGTCTAGCAAATTGTTTTTTTTTTAAAGCTATCGGTGAATGCAAATTGAGCCAAATAGCTTCTTCGTCAGCGGCGATATTAGCCTTGACAAAATACCAATAAACCCCCCTCATCAATCTTCATCAAAGTGAAAAGCTTAGAACCAACATAGCCAACGCAGAAACTCGTCCATCAAGAAAAATAAAACATTACATAAGAAGAAAAAAATCATCAGCATACAAGCATTCATGAGCACATTTTAAGAGCAAGAAAATAGATTCATTGGTACACCCGATCATAGTAATGGTAGAAAATCGCATAGCATTGTCACGTAGAAAATCAATCAAACACAATTGAAGAGATTCATACTTCCCTCCCCCAAAAAGCACACAATTTAAGTCGAAAACAATCATCAATTAATTGTAATTAAACTATTATCATACAAAAACAACATTACACACCCACATATACAAACCAGAAAACCTTCACATTCACACCAACACACACACAAAATATTATTCGAACGTATTTTTTTTTTAGTAAACCGAGACCATAATGTTAACGAAACACCTCTATAAACTCTGCTGCAGCCAGAAGTGCTGTTGTGTTCAGTGGTAGAAGCAGAGGGAAAGAGGGCAAGAGAGGCACAATCGGTAAAACAGAAACGGAAACGAGAAAAAAAAAATCATTATCAGAAAAAGCGACGGCGAAGAAAAATCCAATTGTAAATATCGTTTTAATTTAATAGTTGTTAGAATGTTTTTATATTGAAATAAAACAAATGTGAAAATAGTTGTAATGAAGTTGAGCGAGGTGCTTTGACTTATTTGTCCGAAATAATCCTAGGTTTACCGTATCCATCAGCTAAAGTTGAGGGCAGGCGAGCAGTTGCAGTTGGGGGATGTAACAGGAATGAAGAAGGGGAAGATTTTTTAGCAAATCAACTACATTTTTGTATGACAGAGAACCCATCACTTATCCACTTCAAAATCCGTTATTGCACCAGAAAGGTAGGTTATCAGTGTACTAGGTTCGTCTCTTAGCGTCTAGTTGAAGTCTCCCGTAGTCAGTCCCTGCTACAAAGCGCTTTTCCATCATCACTTCCTGTGCACTGTTAAGGCCCGCCCACATTAGATCCGTTTGCGTTGCATTGACGTAAATTTGACAGTTAGACAATAGATTTAGCTGTCACTTTGCCGCAACGCGTCCGATCCGGATCTAATGTGCGTGGGCCTTTACTGATGGAGCTACACTCTCCCCCCGAAGAGCGCGAGTAATACGTACCGCGTAAATCGAATTCGCGGAGCATATGGGATTTGACCTAATAGGGACAAACATGGAATATCTCGCGATCTTGGACATATAGAAGGTTACTGTCTTGGGCAAAGTTGTTCAGTGGATCAAGACCTAAAGGTTGGTCGACAGAAGTTCATAATTTTCTCACTACGCGGCAGCAGTGTGCATGAATTAATGATATCCTTGTTTTTGTGATATCTTGAAATCCTTGTCATCTAGGAAGTTGCTTTCTTCGGAATGTTCTCATTACGCGGCACTAGTTTGCATGAATTAGTGATATCCTTGTTTTGTCAGGCTTGATGGAGCCTCACTCGCGAGTTTGAAATGAGCCAGCTGGCCTGCGGAGCGTAGCATTTTTCTGAGGAGTAGAATTCTTCTTCTTCTTCTTCTTCGCATTTCAAGCTTATTGCATATCGCATATTAGCTTATTGCGTGCTCTCAACTTAGTGATCTAGATGCACTTCCACAGTTATTAATTGAGAGCTTCCGATGCCTGTACCATTTTTGCATTGGTATAATTGTGTGGCAAGTCCAATCATACTTTTATGCCCAGGGAAGTCGAGAAATTTTCCAACCCGAAAAATTCCTATACCGAACCGAGAATCGAACCCAGCCACCTCCAGCATGGTCTTGCTTTGTAGCTGCGCCTTTACCGACTGAGCTAAGGGAGGCCCCTTAATAATGAATAATGATCATTTAGTTTTCATGATTAGTAAACATTGCCCGCAGCTTGTGTCACTTTTTCTCGGGTGAGTGAACTCAAATCGGTGCACTCGTCCATTCCTGCCACTGTATTCTGCAGTGTGACATAGTAGCCATGATTTTTGTCCTCTATTCTACGCGCCGTAAACACCAATGTTGCCTGCTGAATAGTGAATTGAGCATAATCATAAGACATCAGTGACTTGAATCATTAATAATTTTTGTTCCTTAAATTTGATCGAAAAGTGGTGTTGAACAAAGTTGTAGCTGAGAAAATTTTCAACAAGCTTAGTTATTTTCTAAAGTAGAGTGAACTGGTGAATTTTGAGATAGATATGAAACGAAATTATGGTTTCTCCATAGTCTTCTTCTTCTTCTTCGCATTTCAAACTTATTGCATATCGCATATTAGCTTATTGCGTGCTCTCCACTTAGTTTTCTAGATACACTTCCACAGTTATTAATAATTGAGAGCTTTCGATGCCTATGCCATTTTTGCATTGATATGATTGTGTGGCAAGTCCAATCATGCTTCTATGCCCAGGGAAGTCGAGAAATTTTCCAACCCGAAAAATTCCTATACCGAACCGGGAATCGAACCCAGCCACCCCCAGCATGGTCTTGCTTTGTAGCTGCGCCTTTATCAACTGAGCTAAAGGAGGCCCCACATAAAGGGTGATACGGTCAAAATTTGGTCAATATCAACTTGACGTATTTCTTTCAATTTTGCATTTAAAAAACCTGAACACCCCTCATTTTGAAGGTGTGTGTGTGTGTAGAATGTTGCTCCTATTTTGATTTTGGAATTCACTCTTCAGTTGTCAAAATGCCGTCCAAGCAAGAAGAGCAGCGTATCAAAATTTTGCTCGCGCATCGCGAAAATCCGAGCTACTCACACGCAAAGTTGGCAAAATCGCTAAAAGTTGCCAAATCAACCGTTACAAATGTAATTAAAGTGTTTGGGGAACGTTTGTCGACAGCCAGGAAGTCTGGATCGGGGGGAAATCGAAAACCGGAAGCCGCTGAGACGACAAAGAGAGTTGCCGGTAGTTTCAAGCGAAACCCTAACCTCTCTCTCCGAGATGCCGCAAATAAGCTGGGTGTATCGTCTACAACCGTGCATCGAGCCAAAAAACGAGCCGGACTATCGATTTACAAGAAGGTAGTGACTCCAAATCGCGATGATAAACAAAATACGACGGGCAAAGCGCGATCCCGGAGGCTGTACACGACGATGCTGACGAAGTTTGACTGCGTGGTAATGGACGACGAAACCTACGTCAAAGCCGACTACAAGCAGCTTCCGGGACAGGAGTTTTATACGGCAAAAGGAAGGGGAAAGGTAGCAGATGTTTTCAAGCACATGAAACTGTCAAAGTTCGCAAAGAAATATCTGGTTTGGCA